TGGGTAGCCAGTAGTTATGCATGTATTTAGATTTTACTATATATATTTAGGAAAATCTTTACATTTAAAATTAGGCGGCTTCCGCAGACAAATATCAGTTTTGGATTTTATACGGAAGAGTAACTAGCCTTGGGTTAAGGCTATAATTACTTTTGGAGTAAGCGGATTGCGATCCGCTAAACTCGTACTTGTTCTGAGTAAAGAACGAGAGGTCGCTGACCTAAGTTACGCTTCCTCAAAGTGCAAAGCTACGGCTGCCCCGCTGCAAGCCGTGCCTGTCAATACGTCAATCTCGTTGAACAACTCAGTGACGTGGGACTGTCTTCGCGATTTTGATTGATTCCCACGTTGATGTGGTATTGCAGAAAAAACCTTCGAACTGTAAAAAATAAACTCTTTGAGTTTTCTTTGAAAATGTATGAAGTGTAGAAGTGTGTGTACCCATCAGTGTTCCAGAATTCTAAAATTGAAACACTCCCTTATCCTATTAATATAATCGCTTTCCAGCGTAAATAAAATGATAGGTAATGTATAACATTTTATCTTGCTGCTTGTACCGTGAAGTACGATTTATATGAATGACAACCATCATTCTTTGATCGAAAAACAACAACAATGCAAGCACAAGCATTCCGACGCAGCACCGTCATCCGCAGCTTAGCCGGCAGTGTACGCTGCCTTTTTTAAACCTATATCAAAATTTCGGACGTGAAAGCTAAGCTTGTAATATTAATTTTGACTTGCAGAGATACGCTGTCCTCACGCGCTATCACACGATGGTCAAACCTGTGATAGTGGTTCCAGTCAAAACAGCCTGGTCGCGTCTCAGTTTACCTTGCATCAATAAAAACACAAAGCCGCTTATTTACTCAACGAAAACTCATGTGCGTAAATGTGCACTAATGACCTGTAGTGATGCTAACGGATTAGTCACGTACAACCGTGCAGAATTTTGCTTCATCGGCAACGATCGAGAATGTGGCGGCAAACCGCCCGATTGCATGTTGGATTTTTGGTACAGCAGCTTTGGTTGGCGGCATGATAGCCGTTGGAGGTGCCACTCGCCTTACTCGATCGGGTTTGTCTATGGTACAGTGGAAGCCACATGGAAGTTTACCGCCCATGACTCCAGAAGAATGGGATGTACAATTTGAAATTTACAAAAAGTTTCCTGAATATCAGCAACGCAAGAATATGGTACGGCATCGGCAATAAGGATTTGGTACAATATGTGGAAGCTTAAGTTTTCATTTTATGGTGTAGACAGTAGACGAGTTTAAAAGTATATTTTGGTGGGAGTATGGCCATCGAATGCTTGGCCGTACAATTGGTATCGTCTATACGGCTCCGTTGCTTTACTTTATGTTACGCAGACGTCTACCTCGGGAGTTGTACAAGCGATTTGGCGTGCTATTCGGCTTGGGTGCGACGCAGGGAGCCATTGGCTGGTGGATGGTTCGCAGTGGATTGGAAGAGCACGGTCACGAGCAATTGGAAAAGCGCAACGAAGTGCGTGTTAGTCCTTATCGTCTGGCCACGCATGTACGTACATACATTAAACAAGAACAGGAGGTTGTACTAACAAACTTTTTTCATTGTGGTTTTGTAAATAGCTCGCATTTGCATTTACAACACTGGGGGTTCTTCTATGGACAGGATTTACCTTGGTTGCGCCTCCGTCACGTGCGGCGGTGACACGGGATATTATTTTACCGGACGTACGAAAGAAGGTGGCCCGTATCCGTAGAATTTTGGGCCACGTTTCGACCGCTTTGGGTTATACGATTGTCTCTGGTGCATTTGTAGCAGGAATCGACGCCGGTATGGCCTACAACACTTTTCCTAAAATGGACGAGCAGTGGATTCCGAATGATCTATTTGTACTCGAGCCAAAGTATCGAAACTTTTTTGAAAACGTGCCGCTCGTGCAATTGGACCATCGTATCCTTGCTCTTAGTACGCTTGCGGGTTTTGGTACCGTGTATGGCATGGCACGTCGTCAACCGATCTGGAGCCAATTACCGCAACAATCACGAAACGCTCTAAATATGGCGTTGGCTGCCGCCGGGGGTCAAGTGATGCTCGGCATCACGACACTGATTAATTACGTACCAATTCCACTCGCTATTTCGCATCAATGTGGCGCCATCGTTCTTGTTACAGCTACGCTTTGGTCACAGCACACGCTCAACTTTGCCAAGCCGCTCAAAAAGACCATTCAAACTGCCATCAAAGCTGCACCCAAGACTTTGTAATCAGAGTTACACTAGAATACCCTAACAATAAAGCAGCTCCCTTTCATATTCGATGCAGTATCACTAATACTACATAATTTACATTGGAAGGCTTCATGGACGACTCTGGTATTCATAAACCTCTGCTCCTGCGAGCGCTTTGACACCCTATCCATAAACCTAACATGTAGTCCTGTATCTTGTTTCGTTAATATAGCAACCGCAAGCGATCGGCGTGGCATGTGGTCCATGGTAAAGGAAGGCTATGAAGGGCTTGTCAGTACCGTGATCCGACCCCTGAGAGCTCAGTACGCCCCCTCAGAACTCGGACCAAAGCGTGCACAGATTGGAGAATTATCTATACAGCGCACAGATCTCAAGCTTAAAAATCCGGCCGGTTACACGCTCGAGTGCAGCTGGTGGAAGCCTCGCAAGTCTAAAACTGAACCTACCTCAGAGCAGGAGAAGCGACCGTGTATCTTGGTGCTGCATGGCAATAGCTCCTGTCGACTTGGAGCTTTGGAAATTTTAATGTATGCTTTACCAGCAGGTTTTACCGTCTTTGCACTCGATTTCTGTGGTTCAGGACTGTCCCAAGGCAAGTTTGTATCACTAGGTTATCATGAGCAAGCGGACATTGCAACAGCAGTCAAGTATGTGCGGAAGACTGGAGAAATCTCAAGCTTGTGTTTATGGGGACGTAGCATGGGTGCAGTAGCAGCACTCATGTACGCGGAGTCCGATGCGACAATCAATGCAATGGTCTTGGACTCGCCTTTTTCAAGTCTACCAAAACTTGCCACTGAGTTAGTGGAAGATGGAAAACTAGGTGTACCGAAAATAGCAGTTAAATTGGTGATGAGACTCATTCGACGCGATATCAAGAAACGAGCCAAGTTTGACATGTTTAAATTAAAGCCAATTGCCAAGATTCACAAGTGCGTCGTACCGGCATTTTTTGTGGTGGGATTGCAAGATGAGTTGGTGGGACCACATCACGTGGAGGCATTATATAAACTCCACAATGGACCGAATCAATTATTTAAGTTTCCAGGTGGACACAACTGTCAACGTCCATTTAATTTTTTTATTCAGGCACTCCAATTTCTGCGGGTGATGGTGGGACTCATGCCATTACCGGATGATCTCTCCACATTTGATCTTTCACCAGATGAGCGTCAAAATCATATTCAATTACATAAAAAAGCGTCTCCGAAACGCAAGAAACCTACGCGTTTATACAAGAATCCGCTTGAGCCAGGACTCTCAATCGAGGCAGTGCATAAAATGTCGATCAAAGAGCTTAAGCAAAGTATTGATCGTGCCGGATATAGTGATGTGACGTGTATAGAGAAAATAGAAATGGTGGAGCTCGTGCTTAAGCTGTACGCACGATATAGGAGATCAAGCAAGCATGCTGCTGACGACAGGCAAATCGTAGAGGAGAGTAAGGTTCCAAATCCGACAAGTTCAGAAACTCGATTAAGTACAGAAACCCGATTAATCGCCCCAGATAATTCAGACGTGGTGAGTGGAGAAAAGCAGCGTCGCCGTAGCGAAGGCGATACACTTCGTACAGCTGATGACTTTGAAGCGGCAGAAGACTCTCCAAGCCTATCTATGATGAAAACTAGCGCTTCAAGTGTTCTTTCCGAAGCAGAGTTGGATCGACGATTGAGTATCGATTATCCTAGTGATTCAGAAAGTAAGTTGGAGAAATAGTTTGTGAAGTAATCAGCGAGATGCTGCCAGATAGTAAAAGTATTAGCTCAGTCTTTTCTCCACAAGGCTATTATGCTTCAAATTTTTTTTGTCAAGGACTTCGCTTACGATATCCCACGAAGCAAATCAAGCTTCGTGTGATAGACTGGAAATAAAAACTTATAGCATGCATCATCACCCATAAAGTCTGGTCTCCATGAAAAGAGCTTGACGAAAACTCCTTCGTCAAATTCAACTTGTGTACAGGATTCAAACTGGAGTTTGTGACGCCAGAAACCACGAGTAATACATTCCCGGAATTTTGGGAAGCTGCTCTCAAAAGAAACTGCAAAATCCAACAAATGGATCAAGCATTATGGTTTTAAGGCTTGTATGGATTTGGTCGATATTGTGGAGACCAAAGATGTTTGAAGAATCAACCGTAAATAAATACTGCAAGGTCAAAAACTCTGAAATCGTGAGGTGACAATTGGACAAACATCGAAAACATTTTTTTCGCGGTGGGACACGAGAAAAATTCACTTGATGCTATCAAATCCATTGAGCTCAGGGAGGAAAGAGTATAGACGTTGCCACTGGATTAGACGTATAAAGTGCAAGGGTGCAAGAGTTCGGACAGCGTGTGTATTTGATTCACAATACTTCTTGGAATCGAAATAAAGAGTCGATGAGAAGAGAAGAGCGAGCTGGAGCGGGCGCACAACACCACAAATGCACAATCTCGGCCAAGCCGAGCCACAGTTTGATTGCTTGATTTGCCATCATAGCTACCGAAGGACAGTAATACTTGTGATGCCTCATGTGAGCCACGTCAATATTTTACACTTTCTTTTCGTGAGCGAACCACGGTGGGTACAGAATGATTGACGTTCCAAAGCAAATCCTGATCTAGATGCACTTTAGGTCAGTGACGCTTAAGGCGCTCCAACTCGGACAAAAATATTGACAGTAGGGCAGTCGTTGGGCTGTCAGTAAACTCGCGACAGGAGCCGTCCGGGTGGCTGGACAAACGCCGCCACAACGAAAGTTGAAAATGACAGAGCAATGGACAAATCAACCAGGTTCAAACGGTAGTAGATCAGTAAAAAGGAGACATTTTTATGATAAAGGGATTCCGATTCGCGCTACGATGCGACACCTCTTTAGGAGTGTGCAAACAGATCAAGTATCTGCCGCTAAAGCGAAGATGATACTTGCGTCGAGTATTCAAGGGCATCCGGATAGTAAAGCGCCTAGCGTTTGAGAGTTACGTGCTATTGGGGGGGAAGTCACTCCTGTGTGAAGTATAACCCCACCATGTTTAAGTGAGGCAAGTCATAGTATACTCTGCTGTACAGCACCAATGTAGTCGAGTTTGGTGACCACGTGAGCCGCCCTTTCTCGCACGGGTAGGCAAACACATTGAAAAGTGCTCATGCGACACATGGACACCGCTAGCCATACGCTGTGGTTTTTACTGGCCGCCATTTAAACCGCCAGCGCCACTGACGCGATGTTGAGTATTTTGTATCACCAGTTCAAGTTGGTCACCGTTAAGACTTCCGCGACCAATCGCTGGACTCAAATGAGCGGACCTTGCCTTCAATAAACAGGCGGTTTTTGTGTCAAGAAGCGAATATTTTTACTTGTGGCGAGGCCACTGTCCCGGGCCAGCACGCAGACTGTATAAGTGAGAACGATGCGGTAGGTTGGATAGTCGTCACAGTAACTTCCACTTATAGAAGATCACTAATTTTTATGACATATATTCGTGCCTTTAGCTCTATTTCTTCAACTCTGATACGATATTCTTCTGTTTCGCACATATCATCGATGCTAAATCCCGACATATTAGTGTCGTCCTAAGTAAAACTTAGCTCTTAATGTAGTATTTTTTATATTACAATTATTCGTTTCGGCGCTGGCACTCGTAGTCTTTTGTTCGGTGTGCACAGTAAACTCGTTACACATGTAGTAATAACCTAGTCCTTATAGGACGTATCTTCTGTTGAAACGGAACATGACACGATCATGTATAAATCTTCGAGACAACAAGATACGCTCAAACCACCACTGTCCTTTGTTGATCCAGAGGAATAAAACGATTGAAAGCTCAAGGGCTGTAAGCAATAATTGCGTGCCCGCAAATACGCCGGTAAGATTTTTTCAAAAGCCGTAGGTAGTCGTTTCTTGAATAAGAACGTATCATCGCTTAAGTAAGGATAAACGAAAATATGTCATGGTTTCTAGAGTGTATCAATGGCAGGAAGTTTATTTACACTACAAGTTGCTTTATTCTCTGCTAAAGCTGTTGGAGTCGAGAAAGAGTGACTATATGCCGCGGTCTCTTGTGCCAGGCCGGTTGAGACAGCGGCTACTAGTCGCAAGAAGAGGGCAAGGCTCGTTAAAGATAGCCCATCCTTGGCAGGATATAGTGGTATTTCCGTGTCAGTTACCGTGAGCCACAGCCACCTTGCGGGGCGGTGAAGCACCACAGATTGTGGTGAAATTAAACTGACTTGTGTAGTACTAGGGGTTGTAGGTCTTATATCTTTTACCTCCTTACAAAATGGTACTTAGGAAATTTCTCAAAAAGTTGCAAGACGTTAAGGATGCCGAAGACCGAATGTTTTTAATATCTTACATGGCCCGAAATGGCGCTTTGCTTTGAGCGATTCTATCACGGCAGAAGTTTATGTATCCAGGGCGGATTGAAAAAAAAAATCAACTTCATTTAGAGGTTGGTTGCTTTAAATCTAAATAAGGTTGATACGACTAGCTTCGGTAGGTGGAGGATTGCCCTTGAGAGCAAAACGTCTTGGGTCTCCGGTGAGATTCGAGATTTCAGGAAATCTTGACTAGCGTGCCTATTAGCAAAATCCGAGCCCGGGCGTGAGCCGGCCACGACATCTGCTATGAGCCAACAATGCGACAGTTAAATGGGGAGCCAGAATTTTGACTGGGTGCCAGAGGTCTCCGTAATTGAAGAGCAATAGAATATTTATCTTAGCACGCGAGCAGCGTTGAATTGCCGCATAATTCAAATATATTTTTTGGCCGTTGAAATCAAAAGGCAAACACAAAATAAAGTCCTTACCATCGCTAACATGTGCAGAATAGGTAGATATATGTACTGTTGAGATGTTTTTAGTAGTTGTTTGTCTAGACCGCGTAACAGGATTGTCACAGTGGAAGTTTTGGACGTACTTCAAGATTTGTTACCATATTTTTACTTGCAAGTCTTATTTTCCGTTTA